GGGGATGGGAACCGGGGCCGGCCGAGCGGAGCGGAGCGGCGGTGTCGCGGTGCCGCTGGAGCGGAGGTGCGGTGTCCCTGCTCGCCCCGCGCTCCGTTCCTGCCGCCTTCCCCTCCGCTCCCCCGCACACCGCGATGGGAGCGGCTCCCCGAGCTCCAGCCTGCAGCCTGGGGGTCCAGACAGGTGGCCAGCAGACAAGTCCTCCGGGCGGTCCGATATCTGGTGGGAGCCAACATTATCCCGCCTGCAGGGAGCCGGGGCTGCAGGAGCCCCTAATGCAGATGTTGCCATTCGGTAATTAATTCTCAGCCCGAAAGCGAGCCAGGAAGCGAGCTGCATTGAGGTATCACTGTGKTTTTCATCTACAAGAGATGACGGARACAASCTGGACGGTTCCCAGCCTTATGTTTTAGGGATTGCAAGTGTCTGACTGTTCTTTTTTATCCTTCTTCATTCCTCCTACCGTTGCCCCTAAACGGCTGAACCAAAAGTTATTGCTCATCAGATACGGTAGAATAATGAGGGTAGGGAGTTATTCATGGATTATTTATTCTACAATCAATGAAGCAAAGAAAAATGAAAACAATTATTTCTCAGGTGTTATATAGAGAAAGCTGAGAAATGGAGAGTTATAATTTCTTTAGAGGAGCCCCAAAGCAGGGATAAATTATTTTCAGTGACTAATACACATGCTGTTAACAAGTACCTGCTGTTATTTAGTGGCTGTGATGAAGTGGTTAAGACCGTGTGCAAGATGAGATTTTCAGAAAGGCTTTGGGATATTAGGATCCTCAATCCTATTGCCTTTCAGCGGGAGTAGAGTGTCTATCTTTTAGGTCACTTTGAAAGCTCATCCATACGTAATATGTGATATCCCAGGAGAGCTGTGGCCTAGAGGTTTGAGCACAGCCCAGGACAAAGCTTAACTGCCAGTCTTGAGAAAAGTGTTTCTGTAATCTTGTCCAGCTGCCATAATTTTTCCTCTTTGAGCCTTTCCCTCCCTTGCCTTATCCATATTGATACATTAATATTTAAAATGCTTTCATAGAAATAATGCCAATTTGTCTACAGCAGATGTGAACTGAAAAAATGCACTACGAACGCTAAGTTTTATTATACTTATCTCARTTTGTAAAAGAATAAATATTTATATAGAAACTCTGTTACTTCTTCCCTGCATTATCCTGAGCTCTTTGCAATGCCCTTCCCTTTCCTTATATACATTTTGATGTCCAGTAATCATTAGGATATATGAGTTTTTTGGGAATTAACTAAGAACCRAATATTAATTAGTGACATTAAATTAGTTCAAAATTGCCTCTTTCCATAATTTCTTTCTTGTTTACATTGCCTATTCCCCTTCTGCTGTATATACCACAATTTTTCAAGTTCATAAACCTACATTTTTTCTTAAGATATCATTGAAGTGATAGATCTGATATAATATCACAAACTGACTGCACATATTAATGGAAAAAATAAAAACTTCTGTGACATGCGAAAATTTCTACCACTTTCATTCTGAGTTCTTGAAACCCTCTCAGTATTCATTGGCCTTTATAATTCACTTGAATAAGCAATAAACAGCTTCTCTGAGTAAGTACTTAAAGGCTCAGCAGACCATTTTTCAAACAAAATTTCTGCTTCTTAAGGCTCTTCTAACAAGTGCAACAGAAAACATACTCTCAAATCACCCATTTGCACTTTTACACATATGTACCTGCACATCACCCAGCTCGTGCTGTCCTCCCCAGGACAAAAACCTTGACTTGACTTTATTTGTTCAAACTTCACACTTGTCTAGCCTATGATGATTTCAAAAATGTACTCAAATTGATCATAAGTAGGTGCACATTTAAAAAAAAAATAATAAAAAAAACAGGTATAAGGGATAAGACAACTAGTTCAAAACAGGAAAATTCAGCAGGCTGATTGGTGAATATCTCAGTAATGGTGATAGAAAATTTCCTTGTTGTTTGAGACAGAAGAAATGTCATAGATTGTTGAATTYTTCCCCACCTCAGAGTAGGATCAGTCCTCAAAAACTGCATAAAATATTTAAACTATACAGCAACAGAAATAAGTTGTGCAAGGGTAATGCAATTATTTTTAATATAACCACAACTGARGCCTGCAAAATTATTAACTTTGACTGATTCTGTCACACAAAAATCATTACAAAGATCTTCAGGCATTCTTAAATTCTATAAAACAAGCTAACCATATATACACTACATTTTTTCCTTTTTTCTAGAGCATGTTGTGAAATATTACTTTACATGATTCAACAAATCCAAGTTGAATATATTAACCTTTGCAATGAAAACATGGTCAAATTGTGTTAGGCCACAATATGAAGTTATKAGATACTCCTACTCTTTCTCCTAACCTTTCAGATCCATAGTGTAAATGTGAGGATGTTTCTAAGCAAGCAGAGAAACACTCCTGTGTCCCAGCAGGGCAACTGCAAGCTATAGCATCCCTATCCTGAACTGTCAAGTGTTTGCAGCTTGGGTCAGCTGCAAGGGATGTGTACTCCACCCTATAGCTTAGGAAAACATCATAGCAGGCTGGGACAGACACACCAGCCAGGAGGTGCAGAAGGAGAATCTTCCATCAAAACCGCTTCCATAAGAAAAAAAAAAAAAATTGTTCCTTATCTTCATTTTTTCAAATAATAAAATAATATAATTGTTTAGGTTGGAAAAGACCTTTAAGACTGTCAGATCCAACCACTAGCCCAGCACTGCCAAAGCCATCACTAAACCATGTCCCAAAGTACCACATCTACACATCTTTTAAATATTTCCAGGCATGGTGATGCTAGCACTTCCCCTGGAAGAACAAGACTGCTCCAACACTTGGAAACCCTTTCCATTAAGAAATTTTCCTCAATATCTGCCCTGCCTAAATCTCCCCTGTTGCTATTTGGGGCCATTTCCTCTTGTTCCATTGATTTCATACTTGGGAGAAGAGGCTGAGCCCTGATAAGCTACAACCTTCTTTCAGGTGGTTGTAGAGAGTGGTGAGGTCTCCCCTGAGCCTCCTTTTATGCAGGATAAACACTTCCCTCAGCTGCCCCTCCTATGACTTAYTCTAGACCTTCATGGGATCCATGGTCCTTCTCTAGAAATGCTCCAAGACCCCAGTACCTTTTTGTAGTGAGGGGACCCCAAATTGGCCCCATATAGGATTTGAAGTGCACCCTCCCCAGTGCTGACAATCACTTCWGCACTGCCAGTGGCTTAAAAAGTAGAGAGATATCTCAGTCCACTGGTGAAACCTCCCTGGCAATTAGTAAGACACTGCAGTGTTCAAAGACTCCAGTTATTACAGCTGTACACAAATTTTATTGAGCTTAATGGAAATTGTACACACATATTGATGAATGAATAGATCATTCTGAATTTACTAGAGCTGTCAAGCAATGTCTGCTAAATGGAATTCATCCTGGATAAAGCTATATTTACAGTATGTGAATGTCAAGAAGGAAAACAATGTCAGAGAGCTAGAAAGGATAATTAAGATTATTTCAAACACTGGTGAGACCAAATGGCAACCAATAAAATGATCAGTTGGGGCCACAGAAGAAAATGAGCTGGCTTGAAAAAAAGGCATGCAACTTTTGAATTAATACTGAAAAGTAATTGGCAAACTTCTTTATGCCTAACAAACTACCATTTTAAAATAGTGTTTCCCTTTTATATTTTTGGTCRCCCCAACCCTCCTGCAAGGTAGAGCTGTAAAAATTATCCATAGCAGAATTTCCATCCAAATCTCTAGAATATTAAATATGAGGTCTTAACAGAGGAGTATTTAGAATTATGACCAAACAAATCTTTATGATCACATGCACAGAGTGAAATGGCAGATAATGGACAGCTCCATGACTGAAGGGAGTCTTGGGTTTACTAAGAACAGCATGGGATTTTCTACTGGGACTAATACTCATGGTTATTTCTCTGAGGGAGAAAGAGGTCACATGAAAATTGTGATCCATCTGCCTATGAGAAGCTGTAAAGAGCTGAAGAAAATATTCATTTTCTAGAAATGCAAGGGAAGCCTTTCCTAATCTTCTTASTGCAGCTCAAAAGGAAGATGAGGGTGCATTCGTGGAAAAGAGACATTAT